AAATTTTGCCGAGTGCCTTTTACCATATGTGGTCATGCAGTGTAATAAACTCACCATATGTGATCATGCAGTGTAAACACTTTTTACCCTTTATGAGCTATTTATGTTGATTTGTGTTATTTTCGTACAGAAAATTGTCAAAACAATTTCCTCGCAATACCTAAAAAAGGAAATTTGCATTCGGCTTTTTATAACTAGTGTTACTAGCCTCTAGCTCGTGGCCTCTAGCTAGTGGCCTCTAGCTAGTGGGCTCTAGCTTGTAGCTTCTGACTAACATCCCCTAACTAGTAGCCTCTAGCTAGTACTTTTTAAAATTACAGTCATTTTCATATTTGCCTTTAATTAATATCATTTTATTAATCTAAATTTCTTGCTTTTGTTTCAGATTTTTTACTGGTCTGATTATTTGATAATCTTGATAGTATTGAAGATTTCTCAGCAAAACAATTTAATTTTTTTTTCAAAAAAATTGTTCAAAAAAAAAAATAAATAGTCAAATATGTATGTATTGATCATCATTATTATCAGGAATGGAGTAATATATAATATCACAAAGTATATACCAAGAATGAAGTGATATGTAATATCATAAGTATACTAGGAATGAATATAATGAGTATATGGTTTGTATGCCATTTGAATGACTTCTGTCCGCAAAATTTTACATCTTATTAGTCTGCATGACTTATTCAGCATCAAATATTTATTTTTTATATGCATTTCATTACACTTTATACCGAAAACATAGTGAAACAGAGTGTATATTCAATTCAAGCTTAGTGTTTTTTTACAATTTTTTTATTCTGATTGGATGTATTAATCAAATGATTTTAATAGATCTCTGATCTTTACTATTTTAGATAAATAGATAGATCACCATATTAATAGTACATGTGATAACTTGATATTTTATTTAAAAAAATTAAGTCATTATTCTCAGTCTTAAAAGAGCACTAGTGTTCACTCAAAATGACTTTAAATCTAGAAGATAAAATAAATTGTTGTAATGTCTAGTGAAAGAGATTTTTTTTTCTCAATACCAATTTAACTCAGGGATATCAACATTAAAGAGAAGCAAGCAAGTATTTATTATTACAAATTAAAACAAAATCTAATCAAAACGAAATTTTTCTGTTTTTAAGGAAAATTTAAATTTTTTGGGTTACATTTTTTGGATTCTTTTTAGCATTAGGAGTAGGGTTTAAGGTTAGATTTATTAATAAATAAATATATGTGGGTTTTATAGGCTTTAATAGTGAGTATGAGAAATTCTCAATTTCATTTTGATCAGATTTTATTTTAATCTGCAACAATCATTTGTGATGATTGAAATAAAGTTGTTTTGTGCTTCTTCATATATTCTCTTTTACTTTTACTTTGTATATTGTTATCATATTCATTTAAAGATGAAGAAGCAACAAATGCTTGCTGTTTGTGACCTTTTTGATGCCTGCATTTTTATTTTGTAGAATAATAATATCATCTAAAGGATTATTAGAGTTATCTGTTAAAGCAACTACTACTTCTTTTCTCTTGTAGTCCCTTTTATTTGGGTTAGTTATACTTATTTTTTCATTTGCACACTTCTTTGTATTTCTAGTACTCATTATTATTTTAAAAAAAAGATAATAAAAATAATGTTATAAGATAAAAATAATATTTATACTATAGATTTTGAGCTTAAATTCAAACTCTAGATAATAATATTTCACAATAAATATTTCTTTTCTTGCTTTTTTTTAAAAAAAAATATTTCAAATTTTTATAATGTTTTACAATTGCTATGTCTCATATAAATAGCATCAAAATTATATAAGGTGCTTATGCAAAACAATTAATTCATATTTGAAAAACTCAAAACATATTAATGAAGAAGAAGCTAATTATAAAATAATAAACATTTGTGATATATTAAGTAATGTAGAAACTGTAGAGTTTGATGATGAAGTATTTGATGGTAAAGCATTTGATAGTGAAGCATTTAATAGTAAAACATTTGGTAATAAAGCATTTGATAGTGAAGCATTTGTTGATGAAGCATTTGATGGTGAAGCATTTGATAATAAAGTGTTTGATGGTGAAGAATTTGATGGTGGAACATTTGGTAAGATGTTAAATGAAGATGTTGAAGTGTTGAGTAATGTGAAATGTCAACAGATTCTATGAATGAAGCACTACATAAAGAATCTGATAAAATTATTGATGAAGCATTAAACATCGAAGAAATGCCATCTAGTGGTAGAGAATTTTCTCAATATATTAAAAATCTTACTGAAGTGTTAATGTTTTGCTGGATTCAAAATACAGCATATATATGTAAAAAAAAAACTTATTTTATTATTAACAATTTTAAAAGTTTAAATTTATTATACATATTCAAATAGCTACTCAAGCTTATAATAAATTAGTGGATATAATTCATCATTTACAGTTTAAAAGTGAAGATGTAATAACAAATATTCATCAGTTTAAAAAGTATCAGCAAAGACTGCCTTTACTTCTAATCAAAACATAAAATATTTATATTTTAAGCAAAAATATGCTATCCACATCTAAAATATTAAAGAGATGTATTACTTATCAATTATTGATATAATAAATAACCCTTCATTGTTAAGCTAAATGTATTTTGGGCCTGGTCAGAATATCAAAAAAAATAAAGAACTTTGGTACAGAAATATATGGAAGGAATTTTTACGATTTGGATATGCATCTATACAATTCAATAGGGATAAGTATTAGTTTCTTATATCTTTACAAAATTTAATGTAGTATAATCATTATACTAAAAACAATAATTACGTTTTTAATATTAATTTTAGCAACATATAAGTGTGAAGAATTTATAGTCTATAAAGAATCAGTAGCAACTAATTGATTCAGCTAAATTTTAGTAATAGTGAATGTAGATGGCAGGTTCAAAATAACAGTTTAATGTATTTTAATATTTGAAGAACTGCCAAATAACTTAAAGAGTAATAATCAAAGAAACAGGTCTTATAATCAATTATAGTTGTTAGATAGAAAAATAGAAAATGCAGTTATAGAATATCATAAAAATTGTCACAATTGTTATACTTTATAATAATAATAGTTCTTCTTCAATTTTTATTAGTAAGATTCTTTATAAGCATCAAGAGTATTAGAAGTTAAGAGATGTTGCATATTCTTACAAACATCTATCTGAATTTGCTGCATTAGAGTATCTGAAATAAACCTCCCAGTTTATAAATTATATATTGATCCTTATTATGATGATTTTGGGATATACCATAATATCTACCATTCACTAGGAGGTGTCTATATCCAAATCAGCATTTACTCTTTAATGAAAGAAAGTATTTAAAGAATTAGTTTGTACTTGAGTTCATTTTATTTGAAGGTTGTTTTAATGAAATTATTAAACCTTTCATTAATGAGATGGAACAATTAGAAAAAAAGAACTATGATGAATATGCAAAGAAACCAATGCCTTGTTATTGCAAGTCTTGGTGATATAACTGCCAATCTACTATAAGCAAATAATTTAGCTAAAGTTAAAAGGCATGACACAATAAGAAGGTGTCATACATATAATGTAGTAAAGTTTCTTGGATCTCTAAAGATCTTGATTTGTTGTTGACCTCTCACTAACATCATCCTACAGATAATCAATTTATAGAAATTTCTGCTGTACTAACTATTACAAAATATAAATTACATTTACAACCACAATACTTAATAAATTAAAAAGAGAGAGACATCTTCAGTGTCCACATGATGTCTACTATCTTACAGCTAAAAAAGCATTAAGATGTATCAAAATAACAATTGACGCACTTTCAAATGAAGAAAAATTAGAATTTATTAAATTTTGAAAATCATTCAAATATCCAAGAACATGGCAGAAGTTACTAAAGCTGATCTCTCATATTGATAGTTTCATGATGTTAAATTGTTTATATTTGGTTATGATAATCCTGTTTGTTCTTAATAGATTTTTAAAACCTTCTTCCTTTAAAAATTCTAAACTAACTTTATTTTAGAAGTGAAAAGGTGTTTCTTGAAGTGATTTAGCTATAAAGCTGTAATTAAATTGTTAAATAATAATAGCAAAATCAATGATAATAGATTATCATCTTGGGAACTGAACACCAAAGGCAAACTGAATGAGGACAAAGTATTTGGCAAGCACTACACCAACCAGGCCGCCAGATAATCAAAGGAAAAGAATATATTCAAAATACCAAAGGATGCCTACTAGTTCCTCTCAAACTATCTGAATTAGCAGTTTGGGGCTTCAATAGTTGGTGTCAAAGTATTGTTGATAGTCTATAAAGTGGATGCTGAAGTTTAATAAACTTTGCAAAGGCAAAGAGTAGGTAATGATAGCAGAGTTAAAAAGCTGCAAGTACTTGGCCACAGCCTAGACATAAGTTACTGAAAATCTAAATGATATATATGTAGGACATAGACTGCTTTAGTAGATTTACTATGAGAATAAAGGACCCCTATATGGTAGTGTGTATCTGCTTTAAAGTTCTAAGAGCTTTCATAGCAATTTCTCTTTGGTGAGAATATCTGATAGTGCTAAGTTAATTAGAGTAGTAATACTTTCATTATGTAACAAAGTCAGGGGTGCTCACATAATAGTTATCCTGGCATTCAAAATATAAGTTAATAAAATGTGCCAGACCCAAAGTAGTTATCTTAACATTAAAAAAAATATATATATCTTAATAAATATTAATTATACTATTCTACTTATAAAAATAGATTAGTTTATAGCAACAAATAAATTCTATATAATTATTTAACTAATTATATAATAATAACTACTTTACTCAATATTATTAACAATACTGTAAATTTTTAAACCAAAAAGTATCTTATATTATAATATATTAAACAATACTTTATTATTTAATTAGTTATAATAATTAAATATAATTATAAAATAATATATATAAAATTTAATATATTGTATTATATATGATATAAGTTATATTAGTTTATAGTTAATCTATAAAATTTATATTGTTGCAATTAGTATTAAATAAATATTAATGCACCAGAACCTAAAACAATTTTAAAAAATTTAAAAAGTTTAAATTTTATAATAAATTATTTTCTGATTTATTATATATTTTCAGATCTTATTCAGTATTTTGTAATAAATCTAATCTAATATAGATTTAATTTATATAGATTTATATAATTTGTATAAAGTTATTTTTCTAATTTAAAATTATTTTTCTTTTTGTTTAAAACTAAAAAAGCTTTTTACAATAGCAGAAAAATAAATTGTGTTTAAAGATTTAAAACAAATAAAAAATTTAAAATTGGTAACAAAAAAACTAAATAGCAATAAAGAAAAAACTAACTGTAGATATATTCTGCACCTTTAATAATTTAAGCCAAATCAGCAATTTAAAAATACTAACTATACATAACAACTATATACATATTCTTGTATATATGAATTATTTAACTAATTATACTCACATACTGGAGTCTGTTCACTGGTTGGTCAGGCCAAAAAGAAAATTAATACTTGGTCTATACATTGGGCCAAGTATAGTTTTTTCTTAAATTATATCTTAACTATAGTAA